AGATAGTGTCCTGGAATGTGGGGGGTCAGGAAGGCTTCACTGAAGAGGTGTCCTTAAAGACAGGGCAGCTCTTAGATTAGCCAAAAGAAGCAGGGAGGGCAGAGCTGGATGGGAATGCCTTGGTGTGGTTGTGAGACAATCTTGCCTACTTTCCAAGTGCTTCCTGGGGTCTTGTGCTCATCCCTGTAGCTTCATAGAGATGAGCCAAATTGGTGTTTTTAGTCACAGTGATGGACACCTATTTTGTGGCAGGCAAACCCTGGAAACATATATGAGTGGGATTCAATCCAGTGCAAAATTCCTTATGCATGAGTTTTTCTTGGTAAACTTCCTTGGTGGTTTCTGGTGTTCTGCCGTTCATATGGTCAGTCTTGGTGAAGAATCCCTCACTTGTGCCATTAGAAACTTATAAATGTGGAGGCTACTAATGACTCATTATGTGACACATAGTAGGGCTGAGATGTGGAAGAGGTCTTTACATGGCACCGATGGCCCAGAGAGGACACTCTCCCCACTCCTGTCTGGGAGGGGTTGGGGCTGGGGACAGATGGTGAACGGGCAGCAGAGTCTGGATTTGCAGTCTCCGCTCCTATACCTGGCTCTGGGCAGGTGCAGGCATACCTCGCCCCCAGTCTCCCCTCTCCAATTCCTTAGCTTCTTGCCTGGCTCTCCTTCTAATCCAGCTGGGCACATGAAATGGAGGGTGAGGATACAGGTGACTTTGGTTGGAATAGAGAGTCGCATAAGTTCAGGAAGGTGGATTTTGATTCAAAATGAGAACAAGGTGCTCTCCTTATCACAAAAGTGTTGGCCAACAGTGGGACAGGCTGTCTTGTGAAGTAATGAGTTTTTCACTGTAGCCGTGGTTCACCAGCAGCTGCAGGCCCACCTCTTTGGGATACTGCAGGGAGAGCCCCGTCCTTGAGTGGAGTTGAACGTCCATGGTTCAAGTCTGTTCGGGGGAAGAGGAACTGGAGTGATCCAGTTCTTTTCTTCCTCACTTCAATGGCTGTTCCTCTCACGTCATTCTTCTCTGTTTTCCATCTCATTTCATCTTCTGAATTCTTCCTAGCTTAGGCTTTGTTTGTCATAGGTACTCAGAGACCCACCTACCAAATTTGGACATATTCAAGATACTTACCTAAAGTTTGCTGACCATTTAGGCTTCAAGGTCATCATTCCCAATTTTTCTATGGAACCAGTTCTCCTGGCAAGTGTGAACAGTCTCTCTCTCTCCTCTCTCTCTCTCCCTCCCTCCCCCCTCCCTTCCTCCACAGGTGTGTATGTCCTTGTCATGCCTATGCTTTCACATAGGCAGTGTGTGGTAACTGGAGTTGCTCCAGGCAACAGGAAAGCAGTTTGCACAATGGTCCATGAATGGAGGGGTAGCCGTGGCCTTGGCTACTAGGGAGGACTGCCCCTCCTTGTCTCCTGCTTCCTGCCACCCCTCCTCCATATCCCCCTTGGCCCCCAGCTCACTCCTCAAGGTTAATTTCCCTGACAGCAGCTGTGCCTCCATCCTCCTCCTCCTTCCTCTACCGTGTACACACAGGCTTTTGAGTTATTCACCTCCTGGTCTAATGAGATAAACAAGATGAGTCTCACGAGGCTCCGCTCTTCTCCCCACAGTGGAACCCCAGGGCTGAATGTGCTGGCCCTATAAAGGAACCCTGATGCCTGTCAGCTTAGTGAGGAGGTCAAGGAAGGGCATGAGGAGCCTCAGGGGAGTTTCCTGGGGGCCATTTACTCGTTGAGACAAGATGGCTTCAAAGTGTAATTCAAAGAGAAGCCTGTTTCCACCCACCCTCAGCGGCATGGGTGGGTGTTGGGGTTGGGGGCCTCCTGCCTCGGAAGCATAGGGTCTTAGACTGCCTGAGCCAGTAACTTGTTAACCAACCTTAGCTTGCTCCTAGGTCTTGGTGTTCCCCATGGCAGCAGCACAGAGGCTGGTGTTACTGATGCCCTGATTTTACAGCTGAGGAGATAGACTCAGACAGGTGCTGGGTATTTTCCAGGCCTCACGAGCTTTCCTCTGCACCATTGGACCTCTCCTGTCTGTGGGAGAAAGAACGAAACATTCAGCGGACATTTAAACTACTTAGGAAAATTGTCTGCCCAGGAGAGTGGGCTGCTGTTGACCCACAAGTGCGGGGACTACAGTCTGAGGGAGGTGTAGGACCTGGACAGGTGTTGACATTTCCCAATTCTTGCCTCTTGGACCTTTTGAGAGCACTGGTCAGGACCAGCTCCTTCTCACTCCCTTGCTGTGGGGTAGGTTGCTGTGGGGCAAGAAGGAAGTGTGGGACCCAGGCCTGTCATGCTTTGGTGGGGTGGGCTGGGCTCTGGGTCCCCACTGCAGTCCCTCTTGGATAGTTTGAATGTGAGGCTCCTAGGCAGGTGCTTCACCACTTGAGCCTTTTTCGCTTGTACTTAGGGCCTTGCGTTTGCCAGGTGCTCTACCACCTCTCGATTGTTTATATCCAGATAAGTGAGTCTCCTGGAGCCAGGACCAGCAGGTAAATGGTTATTCACGTCTTGTATTTCTGAGCGAGGTTCAGCTCTGGTTGGATTTCTTGGATAAGTATTCCTCAATGTGTCTGTCAAGCGCTATGTGCTGTGTGTTGAGGATACTAGAAGTGGATGTGGTTTTGGACATCCTGGATCTTATAAAACCAGCAGGGGAGATCATCAGTAAGCAAGCAACTAATTATAATACCTGAGAAATAAAGGAACCTTGGGATCCTATAGGAAAGGCCATTAAATCAGACGTGGATACATGCAGGCAGTAATAGATGGTACTCAGACGTCCCAGAGCTTCTGTCAGACACTGGAAAAATCTATGAAGTCCTTAGAAAATAGTCGCCCAATACAATCTGCCTCCATTCAGATTAGAGAGGTTTGGCATGAATTTTAGGCATTGGTGCTTTTGAACAGTTCTCCAGGGGATTTCAGTTTTGGCTGGGATAAGAATCACTAATCCTGGGCTGGGTGTGGTGGCTCACGTCTGTTATCCCAGTTACCTGGAAGACAGAGATAGGAAGATTGAGGTTAAGGCCAGCACAGGCAAAGTTAGTGAGACTCTATGTCAAAAAAGTCAGGCATGGTAGCGCATGGTTACAATCCCAGCCACTCAGGAGGCAGAAATAGGAGGATCATGTCCAGTGTGGGTCCTGGGGGAAAGTGCCAGACCTATTTGAAAAACAAACTAAAACAAAGCAGGCTGGGGGAATGGCTCAAGTACAATGCCTAGCAATAGCAAGGCCCAAAATGGGGACTGGTGGGGACAAGTTCTTAGGCATAGTACGTTAGTACTTGGGCCTTGCCTCAGATTCTGGGGGTACGCCATCCCTAGGGGTGACCTGAACATTTGGAAGGGACCCAGGATGAATGTGTCCCTTCAGGAATGATGGACCAGAGAGGACACAATCATGGAACGAGCCACCACAGAAACACTGAGCTATTTGCAGAGGTGCCTTCCCTCAGAGAGTGGTCACAACGGTCACAGCAGGAGTGGCCAAGGCAGGAAGCTGTCACTTCGTTTGGCTCACTTGGTCTTCTATACACTGCTGCAAGCCTGGTCCTCAGAGTCAGGGTGCTCAGAGCCAAGGGACCCTCCCTCTGCAGAGCCCAGGAGGCAGGAGCCCTTCAGGCCCCAGCTGTAATAGTGTCTGAGAATTAAGAGGGGAGGAGGGATCAAGACCTCCACCTTGTCCACAGTCTTGCACCCTGTGAGCTGCTGTGTGAATAAAATGGTGCTTACACGTGAAGCTACATCAGCATTGTGATTCCTTTGTTGCTGGAATCACTGGTTTTGCTTGAGACCCAAGTAAATGAATGAGTAACGTTCACAGGTAAAATTGGAATGTGAGCGGATGGATATGTAGCAATGGGACTTTTATAGATTTACAAAGGCAAAAAAAAAAGTATGAAAGCAGTACCCCTTCTTAACATTTTTTTTTTTTGCGGTACTAGGATTTGAACACAGGGCCTCACATTTGCTAACTTGAGTCCCCATTAACTTTTAAGAGTCCTAAAAGGAAAACAGCAGATACAATAGGTCTTGGGGTTTGCTGAGCCCCATGGTCCTTGGTGAAGGCAGTGACACTCTCACGTGGGGCTGCCTGAATCTGATAGCTGTCATTGTCACTTTTATCCACAGAAGGTAGAGTAGTGACTTTAGAGCAAAGCTGGACCATTTCATTCCTTCACTGAATATTTAGTTGGATTCTTCTATCTGTGGGGCCCAGTTTTGATTCTGAGGATTCTAATAGTGTCAGACAGCAAAGTCCTGGTTACTGGGCTTTTCACTCTGCCAAGGTAGGTGGGTGGGCTTACTGGCTTGTTTGGAGAGACATCAACCTTTTTAGACTGCAAATCACCTCACTGGTTTAAAACACTTTCATCTTCTCCCCTCAGCCTCTTCCCCCCGCCTTTTCTCTGAGAATAGACTCCATCAGTCTGATGTGGAGAGTCCACACCTCTCTAAGGCTGATGGCTGCCACAGATACCAGAGGAGAGTTGTCTGATGAGCAAGAAGACTCCTTGTGGGGTGCTAGGCATGACAATGATGCTAGTGGTGTCAGAAACCAAATATTAATGGAGGCACCCGTTGGGCAACAGTGTGGTTGCCCAAACTGATTAACTGGACCTGGATGGAGGACAGTCACTGGAGGGTCACTGCCTTGGCAGTGCAGTGGTGAGGTTGACTCTGGATAGGCTTCCTTAGGGTTTGAATGTCCCTCTGGTGGTCTCCAGGGGCCAGAGAGAACTGGTTTTGGTGAAGGCTATGGCTTTTTCTGGCATGGCCTTGCTGAACAGCATGGTGGAGCAGTCAGAGCAAAGGTCTGGGCTGTACCATCAGCCAGCTGTGTGACCTTGACCTGTCACTTCACCTCTCTGGGCTTCAGTTTCCTCTCTCTGTGAATGACAGGGCTAGTCAGGTAGTTCGCAAGTCTGCTTGCAGCCTAGAGCCTTGAGTCTTTACGTTTCTCTGTCCACAGGTCTGGCTCCAGGCCAGCTGTACACATACCCTGCCCGCTGTTGGCGCAAGAAGAGACGATTGCACCCGCCCGAGGATCCGAAGCTGCAGCTGCTGGAGATCAAACCTGGTGAGTGCCCCGGGAGCTGGGCTGGGCCATGGCGGGAGGGCGCAGAGGCCTGTGCCGGCCCAGCACAAGTGGTTGACCTCTCTGTCCACACAGTGGTTTTTCTGGGAGAACAGAGGTGCCCGTACGGCACTCAGAGACTCTCTGTTCCCACCCTGTGTGTAAACATGTCCATGTGTCCTCTGGGCATCTCTAGGGTCCCCTGCCTTCTATTTCTTTGTTTTCCCTCTTTGTTTTTCAGTACTAGGATTTGAACTCAGGGCCTTGCAGTTGCCAGGCAGGCGCTTTACCACTTAAGCCATGCCTCCAGCCCTTTTTTGGTTATTATTCAGGGAGGGTCTTACATTTTTGCCTGGGTCTGGTTTGGACCACCATCGTCCATCACAAGCTCCTGCATCATGCCCAGCTATTGGTTGAGATGGAGGTCTTAGTAACTTTTTGCCTAGGTTGGTTTCAGACTACAATCTTCCACATCTCTGCCTCCTAGTAAGTAGCTGGGAATACTGTTGTGAGCCACCACTCCTGGCTCTGTCTTCCCTCTTTTGCTACCCCAGGGAAGCAAAGCAAGGAGCCACAGGGACCAGGCTAGGTGACTCCCTTTCTATCAGAGCCCAAGGAATTGCAACAAGTTTGGGTCAGGTGTTACCTTCCTTGCACTTAAGTAAAGACACGTTGTTTGTGTGTCCAAGGAGAGGAGAGTGACCTGGGGCACTTCTCCTCCCTGCCCATGTGAACTTCTGTGCATCCTACTTGGGAAGAGGCCAGTTGTTAAAACTAGAACCTGCCTTGGCTACATGGAAGAGCTGGGGCTCAAACCTTATCCCTAGGGGTTACAGATGCTTTGTGGCTTATCTTGACTCTCCTGTTATTGCACTTCAGGCTACAAGGTTGTCTTCAGACCTGGGTTTTAAGGGGAACTCTATTTTGCAGGGTGTAGGGCTGAGATGTGACTCAGGGTTCAGCAAACAGAATTGAAACATTCCCTCCCAGTGTCATCAAAGCATCTCCAGGCACCTAGCAGTTACCATGCTCCTTTCTTTCCACTGTGACCCCATAGCCTGTGTTCATGCTGCAAATTCTCTACCCATAATGATTGGAAGGTTTGCATGCCCCATTCCTTGGGTGACCCTGCTCTGCCTGTCTGCTTCCACCCAGCTGTCACATGGGCAGCAGTTTTATTTGTGAGGGGCGTGTGGAGGCTAGATTCTTCCAAGTGCTCTCAAATGTCTGTGCACAATATACAGATCCTCACAAATACTCCCGGCTCCAGGTGATGGCTTAGTTGTTCCGCCCCTCCCCCCACCCTGCCCTGCCTTGATGCAGGTTTTAAGAGCTCCAAGTCTCCTAGAGTGACACAAGCCACAAAGATATGGTGCAAGCTACACATGTCACTTTGCATTTTCTAGCCCCAGTACAAAAAGGAAAAAGACAGGGGAAATGAATTTTAAAGAGAGTCCATTTAACCCAACTTGAAAAAAAGTGCTATCATTTCAGCATGTCATTAGTGTAACAATTGTGAATGAGATCTTTCTGTTTTGAATTGCGGTGTGTATTGTGCACTTCTCACGTCTTATTTTGGACGAGCTGTGTTTCAGGTGCTCAATGGGTACCTGTGACTGGTAGTGCTGTATTGGTTAGTATGGTCCTGGGAACTTGGGGAAGAGGCACGTTCACCGAGCTGGAATCTGTATTTTGTCAGAAGTTTGGAGTGCATCTCCAAAACACACCTGAAGTCTGAGAAATTCCGCTTTTGAAGAATTACAGGTAGTTTGGGATTTTGTACATTGCCATGATTTCATTTTTAATTAGTGTATATTTATTGTACAAAGGGATTTCATCATGATTCTTCTATACATCCATAAAATGTACCTTATTACTCTTTTACTCTTTCTTGTCCTTCTCTTCTCCCCCCCAAAAAACCCCCACTTTTTAGTGGGTTTCGTTAAACTATTTTCATATATATATATATATATAATGTATTTTGATCATATTTATCCCTCATCACCCCTTCCTTTTCCCTATCCTCTTCTACCTTCCTGATAGTCCCCCTTATCGTGTGATAATGCTATTAGTATTATTTTTTGGTGGTATTGTGGTTTGAATTCAGCGCCTTGCACTTACTAGGGAGATGCTTTACCATTTGGGCCATATTCCCAGGGTGCGCCCTGCCCACCACCTTATTTTTGGATAGGTCTCATGTTTTTGCCTGGGGCCAGCTTCTGACCTCCATCCTCCTACCTATGCCTCTCGTGTAGCTGGGATTACAGGTCTGCACCACCACATCTGACTTGTTGGTTGATATGGGATTTTGCTAGCTTTTGCCCATGCTGGTCTTGAACCACAGTCCTTCCAATCTCCCTCCCCACAGAGTAGCTAGGATCACAGGCATGAGCCACTGTGTCTGGCTTATTAATTATTATTATTATTAATAGATTGCAATGAGAGAAAACATATGGTATTATTTCTCTTTCTGAGCTTGGCTTATCTTGCTGAATATGGTGATCTCCAGCTCCATCCACTTCCCTGCAAATGACATAATTTCATTTTTGTTTGTAGCTGAATGATAGTACATTGTGTATATGTACAGCTTTTCTTTTCATCATCATCTTTTTGTTAGTCATAAATAATTGTTGATATGAACTGCTCCTTTGGGCAGCAAGGATGCCCTCCTTCTTTTTCCCAGCCCCATTGGTTGTGGTTTGGATGGATGGTGTTGATAGTCCCTGGTTTGAACCTGGACCAATTCAGGTCTACCCCATTCACAGCTGAGTTGGCTGTGTGGCCTTTGTGGGAGGTGTGTCTTTGTTTATGTGAATCCTCTGCTGTATTTCCCCATGTGTGGAATAGGCCCAGGGTTACCAGGAATTCAAACAAGTCATGTGCATTTTTAAATTTATTTAATTTTGAGTAGCTAATACAGCCACATGTTTTGTCATTTGAAAGGTAAAAAGGTTATCTTGCATAGTGAAAAATAAGGGCATGTCTCCCAAAAGGCACTCAGTTTTACCAGTTTGTGAGATTCCTTGAAGAAGCAAGCAGTCTTGTGTACACACCAGGATCACATCTGTCTGATTTCTCCTCTTTTCACACAGCATGACCATCCTGGATTTTTCTGTTTCCACTGAAGTATGCACCTTAGATATTGGCCATTCCAATATATAGATTTCCATATTCCTTTTCATAATTACATAGTATTCCATTGTATGAATGTACCACAGCTTATTTAGCCAGCCTGTTTCCAGTTTTTATTTCCAGTTTAATCAGTATGCTGTGAGTGTACATGAGGCTATCTCATATGTGATTTGCTAATTTAAAGGCTTCTATTATAAATATGTGACACTAATTTATATGATTAATCTTTACCATTTATATTTATATAAAAGCTTTTTATATGAAAGCTCTTCATTAAGAACACTTTATATCAGACCAATTGGGTCTTTTGTCATAGAATCAAATACATTTAGCACAGTGCATATCATCAACTCCAATTCCTTGTTTTATTAAGGTCCATATAGGTTAAGGAACTTGCTCAAAGCCGTACAGTAATTCCTTGGATCCAGCAGAGAATCTAGGTCACCTGAGTTCCCTATTTAATGTTTTTCTGCTTCTTCATGCTGCTGGTAGGTATGTTAAAATGAATCCAGAGCTTTACACATATGAGGCAAGTACTCTACCACTTAAGTCACACCTCCAGCCCCTTGGTTAGTATTCTGTTTTTGAGGTAGGGTCTTACTAAATTTGTGCAGGCTGGCCTCAAACTTGTGGTCCTCCTGCTTTTGCCTTCTGAATAGCTGGGATTATAAGTACATGCCACCATGCCTGGCCTAACTTAAATTTTAAAGGTTTTTACTCTTAAAACTTTATGATTGCAAAACTCATATATATATAATTAAAATGCATTGACAGATACTGGGAATTCCTTACATCATAAATGTTAGAAACTCAAATTCAACTAGGCTAAGCAAAACAAATTTGCTCACTTACTTTGGGCATAGTTACCTTGCTCTACCTTTAACTGTCCTCCTCATGGGACTGACAAGGTGTCCACCAGCAGCTCCAGACTCAGCCCAGACCCAGAAAGACAGACCTTCCACAGCTGGGGCAGAGAAGTTCCAGGGAGGGCTGATTGGCGAACTGGGTTTATTATGTCTTTCCCACCAGTTGCTGCCACCCTTGGATGGGACCCCGATCCAATCATCAGCACTGTCATAACAACTGTTTGAACGACACACTCACTTCCAAAGCCCTTTACAAAGCATTTCATTCATGTAACTTACTTGGTCCCACCATAGCCCAGGGTGGTTAGAGAGGGAGAAAAGAGCAACTGTGTTTCTTAGAAATCAGGTTGTGGACAGAGCCAAGGGGAGTTCACTGTGTGATTCTTGCATCTGAGAGCCAACAGATCACTGCTTGTGAGATGGAGGCAAGAGGCTACTTCCTAGCTTTTGCTCCTTCTGTCCACAGGTATTTACTTTGGGTGTCCTGGCCTCCCAGTATTTGTGCCTTGTGTGTGGTTGAATAGGGTGCAGCTGCTTTCATAGTGGCTGCAGACCTGTCCCGTCCTCAGCTGCTGGTGATAGACAAGGGTCGGACAAAGGAGAAGCCAGAACTGGCCACCTTCTGCACACAGTGGCTGTATCTGTGACCATTTGAAAGATTTTCTCTATGTCTGCTTCAAGCTTGAGGCAGAGGTGACTGTACCAGGTTCAGGGGGAAAGACCCAGCTCCAGAGATGCTCAAGGTCCTGGGTATGACATGCTCTAGAGAGACAAACACTGGCCCTTGTGAGGACATGGTTCCCATGGTGCTATGTCCCCAGGTGGGAAGAGCTGAGCTCTGAGTCTGGCTCATGCCTCTAGCCAGCACCTAGCCGCCTGCAGACAGTAAACAGCTCTGGGTGGGAATAAGGATCTTTTCAAATGATCAGGCTCCTCAGATGAACTTGTTCCCCTCTTTGGGTAATAAGACCTACTACGAAGCCTACTAAAAAACTAAAACCAAAC